GTCAACACGATATCGACACAAAACCAAACACACCGATATAATCGATGTGAATGGCGCCACCCACAACAAACTTGTTCGATGCTTTGGTCCACCTACTCCCATTATCAGTGCGATCTCTACACCCATTGTCATACCACAATCACCTGATTCATATAAATAATAAATAATTCTTTTTTACAAAATTATTGAATATATATATATATATATATATATATATATATATATATATATATATATATATATATATATATATATATATATATATATATATATATATATATATATATAAAAATATCATAATTTCTATATATTTTTATATATATATATATATATATATATATATATATATATATATATATATATATATATATATATATATATATATATATATATATATATATATATATATATCGTTACAACACTCTTCCATTTATAGATCAAGTAGCATTATTCTTTGCTTCATGATTTTTGCATATAGTGGCTTATGTAAGATTCCGCTCAACAAAACTTATTTTAAACAATTTATAAACGGTTGCGGCTATATGGAAGACTAATTCCACTTGTGCAAGACCAAATTAAAATTTTCAATGTATAAATACTATAATACCTTTATTTATTAAAAAAATAAAAAATTCCAAATATGCAAGACCAAAAATTCAAAAACACAAAAAACCCTATCACAAGACCACAAAATCACAAGACCAACTATCATCTTCTCCATCTTCCAAAACTCACAAGACCTTTCTCCTTCCTCCTCCATTAACCCACAAAACCTAGAAATTCAAAATCATCAAAACTCAACAAATCTTACATAGATGGCAAGTATGGAGTCAGAAGACATCAAAATAGAAGATTCTACGATGGAAGAACCAAAAAATGTATGCATTTACAGGTTTTTTTAGCTGTAATATCGATTTTCCAAAAAAAATCCCGCGCAAACGAATTCGACATGCAGGTCGAATTTTACAGGTAAAAATCGACATTTAGATGTCGATTTTGAGGTATAAAATTCGACATTTGAATTTGTGCTACAAATTCGACATGTCAATGTCGATTTTTACCTATGAAATTCGACGCTTAAGTGTCGATTTGTAGCATAGTTTTTCGACACCTTGGTGTCGATTTTTGTTTTTTTCTCATTATTTGTATTTGGTCTTACATGAGAAAAAAAAAAGTCAATTTAATTTATGGGCATACTTATTATTCCATCTTAATAAAATAGAATCTTTTGGAATATTTCTTTAATTTGGTCTTGCACAAGTGGAATGAGTATTGCATATAGCCGCAACCCTTATAAATTCTTACGTTTGATGAGTTATTTTAAGAGATGATAAACTGCCATACCTTGTTTTAAGAATTAATTTTTTTTTAATAAGTTTGGATAATGACATTATGAGTTACTTTTATTAATTATAAGATCTAAATTTAAAACGTGGCGTAAATATACTTTTTAAAATTATATCTTAAAAGCTCTCAAACAACTTATTTTTAAGATATCCAGTACTAACATTAACATCCACAGAATTTGCATAATACACACATACATTTATTATATAAAAATAAATGAAAGTTCTAAGTTTCTCGCACCAACTTACCACCTCCGGAACCAGTTGAGCTACACCCATGCAGGCAAGTTCTAAGTTTGTCGAATAGATTATACGAAGAGAAGGACAAGTTAGCGGTCAATTAAGCTTCAATTTCCACGTTTTCTAACATAACAAGATTTTTTTTAAGTAGGAAAGAAAATCTGATTAAGATCTAGATATTGTTGCAAAGTCAACTCTTGTGTTTTAAAAAAAAAATCCGATGAACTAAGCTAGAGATAAGGTTCAGACTTGAGAAATAATATATATAAAAATATTTAGATGAGGTTTTTGTGAAGTCTCCAACCATACACCTTTATATTCTAAGTTTAGGGGCTATATCTCTTTCACTAATAAGCCCATCCCTTTAATATTTATTTATAAATAAAGGAAACATTCATGTATATCCCAATATTACCCTCAACCCTTTATACCTAATTTTTAATATACTCCAATTTCATCATTAACTTAATTTAACCTCAATTTGACCCCAAATTTCTCAAATTATTCAATTTTGACACCAATTTTTTTTTCCCAATTTTTTGTTTTTCAAATATTTTTTTTTGCCGGATTCCGGCGTTGACTTTTTTTAGAGTTTTTTAAGGTTTTTTTTTTCCTTTTTTTGGGGGGGGGGGGTTTTTTTTTTTTTTTTTTTTTACGTCCGTCGCTAAACATTGACCGTAATTGTGCTGTCTCTGACAGTAAATTAACGTAATTATACTGTCAATGATAGTTAATTAACGTAATTATACTGCCGTTGACAATACATTTATCTAATTGTTCTGCCGTTGACAGTAAATTAACGTAATATTATTATTTTTTATTTTTTGTTATTTTTTTTTATTTTGTTTGATTTGTTGACAAGTCAACGTAATTATATTATTGTCGTTGACAGTAAAATAACTGTAAACACAATAATATTACAGTCAACAACATCAATATTATTATTTTTTTGGGGTTTTTGCTTTGTTTGAATTATTCACGGAGTAACGTAATAATATTACTGTCTATTATTGTAATATTACTGTAAACACAATAATATTACTGTGGTTGACGGTAATATTACTGTTGTTATAGTAATATTGCTGTCAACCACATCAATATTATTATTTTGTTTGTATTTTTTTGTTTGTTTGAGTTATTCACGGAGTAACGTAATAATATTACTGTCTATTATTGTAATATTACTGTGGTTGACGGTAATATTACTGTTGTTATAGTAATATTACTGTCACTCACAGTAATATTAATTCTTTTGGCTTTTTATTATGTTTACATTTGTTGAACGGTCAACATAGGAATATTACTCTATTACACAATAATAATGAGTTTTGTTGTGTTAATATTATTGTGCTAGAGATTAATATAGCAATATTACAGTGTTAAACTGTAGTTTAGTTAATTTTTCTGTGTTTAACAGTAAGATAGTTAATATTACTGTCCATCACAGCAATATTGTTGTGTAAACGAAAAAAAAAAGTTACAGAAAGAAAGAAAAGAAGAATTTTTTTTTTTTGAAAAAGTCAATGCCGGAAACCGGCGAAAATATCCGGATGAAGAAAAAAAAAAGTCAACGCCGGAATCCGGCGGGAAAAAAAAGTTTTTGAAAAAATAAAAATTTTGGGTCAAAATTGAATAATTTGTGAAATTTGGGGTCAAATTGAGGTTAAATAAAGTTAAGGATGAAATTAGAGCATATTAAAGTATGACTGTATGAGTGGTTATTTTAGTCATTTACAAAAATTTGGACCATGTGTGGACTTATTGGTAAATGAGTTTTTTGTCTTGATCTCTTTATAAATAAGTACCATTGATGAGCTTATTTGTAAAGACCCCTATTTAGTAATTATTAGATTTTCAGAAGTGGCAAAAATAAATTTTAATTATATTATCCGATGAACTATTATTATCTTTTTGGCTTTTTGGTGTTTTAGAAGTGGCGAATAGCGTCGTCTCCTGCTCTCCTCTAACTTTCAATGGACAAGTGACTCAGTTTTGAAAGAATTGACTCGGTTTCAAAATTCCACTGAGTCACAATAAATTCGTAGATCGGGTTAACTAATCCGTTTTAAATTAGGGAGGGGGGAGACGAGGTTTGAAGAACAACTCGGAAGCCCTGAATTTTAAAAAAAGTACTAATATACCCGTTTGGTTGACAATATAAGATTAGCCAAGATAAGATTAAATAATCTAATAAAACCTAATTATTTTATTGGAGCTCGCCGCGACGTCCAAAAAATAAGTCTCATATAAGGCAAGATAAGCCAAGATTATATATTTTGGCGGGTCGACTCGTCAATTTATTAGAAGTACTAAACATTAAATTAAGTCCAACTATTTAGTTAATCGCGACTTATCTTGGCAACCAAATGGGCCTAAAATATTTAAGAACCTTAAATTTTCTTAAAAATATGGGGGCCGTAGACGACCGCCTACTTTATCTTCCTTCAAAATTAGTCCAACCTACAAAATCTTGGCTAGTTCATTCTAAATCACCCCAAGATGTACGGTCAAAAGTGTGGTTGGAATTAATGCTAGTGCCAATGACATATTGTTAACAAAAGTGCGATTAATGATTCATTGAAATTTTAAATTAATAAGAATTTACGGCAATTTTTTTTAGCGCAAAGTAACAAATAAAATCGAAAGGAAGGAGTATCTCTTTAACTAGAATCGAAGAACTTGGAAATTACAACATTAAATAATCTTAATCACGTGACAGTTACCTTATGGCTTCATTTGGATTTACATTTGGATTTAGGGTAAGTTTTAAAATCCATAATAAAATCAATTAAACTTGTTTGGATGAACATTATATTTTACAATAAATTTAAAATCCTTTGATCTTATTTTGAGCTAATTTTTTATTGGTGGATTGAAAATTTATCTCATTTTGATTTATTGTTATTTAAAATTTGTTTCCCAAAATCATATCTTCCAATCCGAGTTACCTCTACGGTGTGTTTGGATGCAGGATTGGGGTTTAATGAGAGGATTTAAGAAACGTTTTCATTATTAAATGAATTATTCCAAAAATAATTAATAGTATAATGGGGCCAAATCTATTTAGCTATTTTTTTCCCCATTAATTGGAATGACATAAATGCCCTTCTCATTATCCATTAGAACTCAGTTTTCCGGTTCCGTTGCCATCAATAATCCACGGCCTATTTATATGGCTGAATTGTCCTAATTAAACATTATTAAACCCTACCACCAGAAAACAAATCTAGAGAGAGAAAAATTCTAGAGAGAGAGAGAGAGAGAAATGGGTTCTCTTCCTCATATAGTCGAAGACTGCCTAGGTATTGTCCAGCTCTTTAGCGACGGCTCCGTTAGCCGCTCCGACGACGTTAAATTCCCGATGGAAGTTCAGGACGACGGCTCCGCCGTATGGAAGGACTGCTTGTTCGACAAGGAACACGACCTCAGCCTCCGCCTCTACAAACCCCGCTCCCCTTCCGCCGCCGCCGCCGCCGCGCTCCCCATTCTGTACTTTTTCCGCGGCGGCGGCTTCTGCGTTGGCTCCAGGACGTGGCCCAACTGCCACAGCTGCTGCCTCCGCCTCGCTTCGGCGCTGCAAGTTCTTGTCGTGGCGCCGGACTACCGCCTCGCGCCGGAGCACAGGCTGCCCGCCGCCGTGGACGACGCTTTCACCGCCGTGAAGTGGCTCCAGAGCCAGGCTCTGTTGTCCGACGACGGCGGCGCTGATGAATGGCTGGCGAAAGGATCCGTGGACTTCGACAGGGTTTTCGTGGTGGGAGATTCCTCCGGCGGGAACCTGGCCCATCATCTGGCGGTGGAGCTCCGGCGTGGATCGCCGAGCTTGGCGCCGGTGCGTGTGCGCGGCTACGTGCTCATGGCTCCGTTTTTTGGCGGCACGGTGAGAACCAAGTCTGAAGCAGAAGGGCCGCCTGAGCAATTCTTGAACATAGAGATTCTCGACAGGTATTTATTAAATTAATATTAATAATAATTTTACGTGAAAATTTTCAATTTGCATGGGAATATGAATTAGGTTAATTTTTGGCGGCTTTATTACTTCATTTTCTGGTAATATTATAGTATTTAATTAAAGAGCTACAAGTCTCTCTTTTCACTTTTCACAAATATTAAGAAACTCAATAAATATATCTTCATTTTAGAAAAATCATATAGAAATGACTAAAACAACTTTTATTATTTAATGATTTATAAGAGAAAAATAATGATTAGAGTTTCATTAATAAGGTTAAAACAAGAAAAATGCATTTAATGCAGTATTGGAAATTTAAAGTGACAGATAATATGGAACAAAAATATTTTAAAAAATAGACAGTTATTGTGGAACAGATGGAGTACTAAATTATTTTCTATCTAGTAATCAAAAATTCAAGTGCTACTTTATTTATTATTCGATGAATTAAATTATTTAATAGTATATCAAAATATATCTTTAGTGAAAAATAGTAAGATTTTTACATATAAAATTTTAAAAATCAACCTCCCCACAAAAAAATGATAAAATAATATATCTATTCTAAATTGTGAATAAGAAATCAGGGAAAAAAAGGCACAATCTCATATTTTGGAATTGACCTTGTCGTCGTCTTTCTTCTTCCAACCTAATTTTTCAATAATCTGAACATTAAGAAGAAGAATAATAATAATAATAATAATAATAATCTTGATGCGTTTGTGGGTGGGGTAACATAGTATAATTATTAGTTATTTATGCGAGTACTGAAAGCGTGACACTTTATCGTGCAATAATTGATGCAATCGGGCTCTTTATATTGCGGTAACAATGATGACAATAAATTAATTTGTAATAATAATAATAATAATAATAATAATAATAATAATAATAATAATAATAATAATAATAATAATAATTATTATTATTATTATTATTATTATTATTATTATTATTATTATTATTATTATTATTATTATTATTATTATTATAGTCATAATAACTATAATAATAAATATAATAATAATGATTATAATAATAATAATAATAATAATAATAATAATAATAATAATAATAATAATAAATAATGTTGACAACTGAGAGAGCTCCAATAATCCACTTTAGTACTATTTTCATAAAGCAATGAAAGCGATACCCAACTTTAGAGTACATAAAAAAAATGATCTGTTCTCCCTTAATTTTTTTTGTACATCCTATATAC